TCTTGGCACGCGTTGATTATTTTCGGGATATTTATTATCGAAACCAAGATGGATTTTGTTTCCTTTAACGATAAACATCTTCAAAGATGACGAAAATTTGTTGCCGAACCTGACTTTCCCATACCAAACTCTTACACTGGTCAGGTTTAATGTCTGAGTCACAGCAGGAAACAGAATATTGTGACGTCATTAGTAGAAAGCGCTATTGTTATATTTATGCGGCATTTATGACGGGTAATTTTTATGTAGTGTGCTCATCGGTTAATTGCACGTGGCAGTGACCAACTCGAAATGCTAAGCTGCTTCGGTCACTGGTCAAAAATTTACTTTCTTTGTTATTTGGAACACTTTTACCGTGGTTTAAGACCCTTTTGCCACAGGAAATTAATTTGGTGTGGAACCTAAGACCAGACCTTTCTAAGATAAACTACCTTGGAAAATATTCATGGATACGTCAAAGAGAACAGAGAAACCGCCCAAGACATTAAAGAAACCCAGTGAGCATGCTCCATTTGACACCAACGTGAAACCGAAAAGAAAATTGTTCATTGACCGATTTCTTTCGCGCTATTTCGGCAAAGATCAATGATTTTATGTTACTGCGAGGAAAGTGAAAAGAAAATTTTTAGGGGTATTTTTAGCTGGTGTCAAGGGAACGATTTTACGAAAAATCTGCAAAAATATGTCCTTTTCCTGGCAGAAATGCGAAATGTGATCCACTACGGGATTGTGTATGTGTAACTAAACACCTATTGTAATATCTATTTATAAATTTGTTAGTAGCGCAAGGTAATAAAAACAATGGATCTGAATCGGAATATGAATTTTTGGCAAAAACAATGCGGTTTCATTGAAAAGTAAAAGACGGACGTAAAAAGCCTACTGATTCTGAACAGAAATTTCATTTTGCAAAGAAAGATCAGTTTTGTTAAAAAATGAAATACGACCTAAAAAATCAAATTATGTGAAAGTGAAATGTTTTTCTGTTGTACAATCCGGTTTACTGAAAAGTGAAAGACCGACCAGAAGGTCAAATTATCTTTTGAAATATATTCTTGCGAAGACAATTCGGTTTTGCAGAAAAGTGAAAGATAAACTAAAAAGTAAATAAATAAATAAATTCACCCAATCAGCCATTAGGCGTTTTCTAGACAATATCATATTTCGCTGTCTTTCATCAAGGATGTGTCATTGTCTAACATAAAGAATGATCTATGTTGTAAAAATATGTCCACAGGAAACTACAAATCCGGCTTTCAGTTTGCTGTTGTTGTTGTTTTGTTTTGCTTTCTACTTTGTGGGACTTGAGGCTGTTCAAAATAGCCAGTGTCCCGGTAACGCTTAATAAAATGTCTTTCAGTTTGCGTCATGTGCCTATGACCACGTGATTATCCACACGCTATATATATTTGGTAAACACCCCTTGCAAATCATCACATCAAGGTGTGGCACAGAGAAACAGGTCTAAAGTAGACGAATAAGAGATTTTCAAGAAATCAGGTAGGCTTAACTATCTATTCTGTCTAGATTGCTTATTCAGTCATCGTTTTTCTCATGTCCAGCGAGACATTTCTTGTAAACAGGATAAGTTTCGTACAGGTTGATCTACTGAACAACATCTTCTAGTCTTTTTTTCTTTCGAGCGGTTAGCATTTCGTTCGGCACCGTGTAGGCGTAATCTAAACGGGTGATTCCATCTTGGTTGTAAAATTATTCTATCGATGGAAAATTGTCTTCAATATATCCGAAACATTTATCCGTCCAATTTCGCGTCAACAACGACAAGAAAATAAGACGAAAAACTGCCTTAAAATTATGTTAAAGGAGAGAACCAGGGATAAGAATGGAATAAAAAACAGAAACATTCAAAGCGGTTTGCCAAAAAGGATACCTCGGAATGAATTTCAGAAAAAAAGAGAAAAAACAACAACCAAACGCATTTGATCTGAGAAAGAAAGTCCTTCGAGCGGCTATGCTCATTGTAACTGCGACTATCAAGTAAATTAAAAGCTGGGTTGTGGAAATGAAGAACTATAAAAGCCTTATTGAAACTGTGCTTCTAATTTGGGTATCCATTTCATTTTACCGTTTTAAGTTGGTTTGGTTGCCGAGTTTCATTTTTTTTACATTAATATTTACATCAGGTGTATTCTTTCAAATTGACATTCTGCAAAGGATGTATAGCTTATTTGCGTTTTAGCCATGCAGAAATTTTGCAGTCCTCGATGGCTGATGTTTCGTTAAGACTATATCGAATGCTAGTTCCTTTTACCTTTGAAGTTGATTGGTGAAATGTACTAAAGCTCTTCTTCAGTTAGGTTTGTATGCTAGCGAATTATTGTACCTCTGTAATGTGGAAAATGAAGCACTTGAAATCGAAGATCGAAGCGCCCACTGCTTCTACTCTTTAATATCTTTAAAACATTGTCCTAAACGCTCTCCATCCCAGCCTCAATTTCTTGACATTACATACCATAATGTTGTATCATCAACATATTGTATCTTCATGAACTTACATTTTGCAGTGGGGGAGGGTGCACGACAAGAATTACCCACCCCTCGTTACAAAAGTTTTCTTTGTGAAGTGGGTCATCAACAAACTATTTATAATCATTGAACATAGTGCGAATATCTTTGTTGGTAACAAAATTAATTTACGCGGTATTTCGGTTTCTACATAGGCGAATTAATCATGACGTCTTGTTCTTCCATTGCGGTGGTTCACAAGGTAATAGTTACAACATGATAGGAAAAGTTGTATTGTTTAACAATATTTAGTCAAAGGTAAGACTTAACGGGCTGCTATGACAGGCCGCCAATGTTGAAACTGCCCGCAGTCTAAAAACTATTCTGTATATTGTTCATTATTCCAAGAAGCGTTGAGTCTAGGATTAAAAGTTGCAGCTATAAACTCTAAAGTGCATTAGAATTATAAACCACTGATTGTTAATATCTTGATTGTTGTCTACCTTTATAGAGTAGAATTGAACCTTATATTGACCGTATGTTTCCTGGTAATTCAGACTTCACTCTTCTTTTAATTATAAAAAAGGAAATAACGGATATTAAGCACCTTTTTAATTAGATGACCAAAATTAGGATCATATCTTAATATTACGCGTGTATACAAGCTCTATTGTAATAACCTGAATCGTAGTTTACTCTAGCTTGACTGCTGCATGAGGATAGAAGTAATTAACACATATCAACCATACTTCTTCCCCAGATTGGAACCAATGTAAAAACTGAGAGCGAAGAAGATAAGGCTTTGAAAGGTAAGGATATTTACAATTGAAGTAGAATATGCTGAAGTAGTAACAACAACAACAAGCTTTATCATTTGAAGCAAATTTTTCTTTCTTTTCATTGGCCGAGAGCCCACCACGTGACCTACTAATAACTGCCTACAAATAATGGTCTGCTCATGTGCAATGCCGTCCAACAGTGTTTGGCTGCAAATGATATTCTGCTCATGCGTAAAGGAAACCGTGCTTTTCTCCTTCTTGCGATTGCTCTTGCGTGAAAAATAGCAGATCGCTTCGCTTCCCTAGGATATTCATTAAAAAAACAAACTCGGTGATCGAATGATAAAACAATTATTGCACTCGGTTATCGCGGCTTCAGCAAATAATTGATCTGCTCGCCACAGACAAAACACGATATTTTGGTCAAAATCTCGTCCAATAATTGTTAATTATTTGCATGACCATACAAGTGCATACAGTATTGCCAAAGCGATTTTAAGAGAAAAAAAAAACTAATACTTTATTACAGGACAATTAAGACACTTTATACTGTAACAATTCGTTTGGAAAATCAAAGCAAACTGAAATATATTTCATGAATTGTTTATTGATAAAGCAATTATATGAGTTCATCAGTCCGTTATGGGTAACTGGGTAACAGCTGGAATCAGTCTTGATTCAAGTGTAAACTTATCCTAATCGGGCAAAGAGTATCTAAAACGACCAAAAAGAAAGTAAACTAATTAACTGGGCTTACATACACAAAGAGGGCAATACCCATTAACGCTAGTAGGGAATGTATCTACCAGGTTCTATCATTAGTTCCTCTCGTTAAGTCTAGGTAATTAGGAGTGGTATGATCCTTTAAAAAGATCTGTAAAATTCTAGTTTTTGAGAATGTTGGAGGTACTATGCCAAAGTGATATAGACAATGAAGTAAAACAGAAGACTACATAAATATGCGCGAACAATAACGCGATTATTGAATTGCTAAGGTTTTGTCCCTTAGCAAGTACTGCACTGAAACGAATGGTGGATTTGCGCGCATTTTCTCATTTTTCCTCAGTGCTGGTCATGTTTTTCATGGGCAAATCGTGTTATTCCCTCGCTAACAAGCCTATGATCATGATTTACATGTGAAAAACAAGAACGTTGGTAATAACACAAGATTTCCTCCAGCCTCGTTCCTATTAAATGGCCAGATCATTGAGACAACTGTAAAATGAGACCCTGAATGAATATGTAAAGTTCTAATTATTTTCGATTTGATTAATTTTAGCCGCCGCAGAGTCCCACAGTAAGAACGGTAATGAAGCATTCAGTAACAAAGATTACAAAAATGCCATCCACTTTTATACTGAGGGAATTAAGGAGAGATGCAGAGATGCCGGCCTCCAGGCTCAACTGTATACCAACCGAGCAGCTGCAAACTTTAATCTAGGTAAGGCTTTTGTTATTTTACCAAAAGAGTGTTGCTTTTCATCTTCGAGTGTTGTGTTCTTTAAAGAGCCAGAAAGAGCCAATCAAGCCGCACGCACTAACGTTAACAAGATCCCAATAATTGGGGTAGATTGGGCTGCTGCTCCGTCGAACAGAAGCATATTCACCTGGATAGTTAAAAGAGCTTTAAATGAAATATCAAACAAAAGTTAAAGTTAATTTGCTTTACAAGTTTCAAGAAACTGCTATATAACAGTATTTCAAACACCAAAAGTTGACCTTGTCATCGTAGAACAATATTAATTTTCGGGCACTGTTATGTTATATTTTTTGGGAAGAAGTGTATTTGTGGAAATCTCCCAGTTTAAATAATACCTATATTTTTTTTATATATATATTTCTGTTCACATTGGTGGAACTGATGCTGTCCATTTTTTCTTGTTTCTATCTGAAATGACCACCCCCTCCCCTCAAAAGTCAAATTAAATGTAGGACTATTACCTTCACGCCAGAATATTGTTTTCGGTATAACTCTGTTTGAAGTTGTGAATACATAAAAATCATATAGCTATAAGTCTGTTGGTAAGTATTTTTTTAAATGACCTACCCTTTTTGCTGCATAGAAGAGGCCGCTCATTTTTAGATCGGTCTTTGCCACAGGGAGCGTAATAATTAGTTTGTGTTTTTATGGCTTTCTCGCGTGCCCTGATCTTTTATCTGATTGATCATATACTCCATTAACATTCCTTTTGATGCGCTTAGTGACTTGTTTCTCCAACGTCAAAACCTTGAATCAGTATGTACATTCTTCATTCTGTTCCTCGTTCATTTGATCGAGTACTAATGAGGAGAACTTTACCATCAAGACTTCGTGATCATTTTCTTTATTCTAATGATAATTACGTTTGATTGCGCAGCAATTCTATTGGAGAAAAAAGATGGAAATTACTCTGTCACGCAATATAGAACCCAAATTCAAGATTCAGGAATAGACCAACAAATCAAGTGAAAGATAACTAACCGCTAAAAGCTGAGGGGATAAATAACACAGGAAAAACACAATAAGTCACGGGGTGTTACTTCTGAAAGATGTTAGGCTGAAATTGAGTGTGATATGTCCAGGCCAGGCCTTTAGATTTATGCTGGCGAAACAAGGTTTTTCGTAACTTAAAGAAGAAATGTATTTTTTTTCAATCGTTCAGCTTCATGGAGAGTAATTGGTAAAACTATACTGCCATGACACAGTCGCCAAAAGGTTGTTTTAGTGAGTTTCGTTGGTATTTACTGACTCTTTGATCACTTTTGTCTTGGTTGCCTGCTTTGCCAATTTGTATTTGTAATGGCCTTTTCTTACCTATCTCGTTGGTTTAAGTTATGGCTGACTTTTGGCATCCTTTATTTTTTCACAGGAAATTTCATCGACGCACTGAACGATGCAAAGATGGCCATTGACAAGCGACCATTGTCACTGTCAGCAATATTGGCAGGTAATTTATGCCCTAGCGATGAGGGGAATATTGGGTCTTGTGTTGAAAAACCGCAAAACGAAAACGCAATGAAAACCAGTGAAACCGAAAACTACGGCATTTAATTGGGTAGAAGATGGAAAATTTAAAAGTTATATTCTTGTTTCAAAAGAACAGACGAAAGTGTTTGTGAAGCTTATCCAAACTTTTAGGAGATTATTTTCGAATAAGCCAGCTAAGCAAAACCGAGAACGAAAATCACTTACGAGAATAAAATAGACCATTATTTATCAAAAAAGTACGTCAAAAATAAGGCCAATGAATGGTAGACTCAAAGCGGAAAGAATACATATTTCAAGAGCTTTGACGGAGAATATTGTTAGGGGGGAAGGGGACTTAAAAGGTTTCATAACCTCATTTTAGACCGCAAGTGTTCAACGCTCATTTAGGAACAGCAGAGGTAAAGTAAATCCTTAACGAATGAAAAAAGAAGCAATTACATCGTATGAATGCAAAGAAATAATCTTGTATCTTGTAAGGCCCGGGCCAAACGTCGTACTTATGTCGCACCAAACTCATTTCACAATAAATAGCACTAGACATACTCTGTCGGGTTGGAGTTGTGTAGGATAAATTCAGGAGTTTTGTTTCAAAAGTCGTGCTTGACTTCTTTATAATTCATGGATAATTCTTGTAATGTATTCGCCATCAGCCATCATCAGTGATCATGTTTTTTTTTATCTGGGATCTTCTGATCTTAACCGAACGAATTTCCTTCGACGTTTGAATCAACTATCAAGTTCCACCTGAATTCTTCTCTTGAGTCTCAGTGAATGATATACGGAAGTCAGGGCTTTTTTTACAATTTTATTAAGTTGAATTTATGTTAACACAATTTCAGGAGCGAGTGCCTCTGCTAAGTTATGCCAGTTTGAACAAGCGATTGCGTGGTGCAATGCAGGAATAGAAGTATCCTTTTGTGTTTCATCTGTGTGGTTCCAAGATAATTCGTTTTATTTATTTACTATGGGCATAACTCTTTTGTTTTAGGTTGCACAACTAAAGTGCGTAGACATTGCCCCACTCTTTCTTGAACACACTTCACAATAAAATCATGACTCACAAGAATTCCTTTAACAGATGAAACTATAGTGATGAGAAGCTTTCAGTGAATTTTTCCTTCAATTATTTGATAACGTACCTCTATATCTTTTCTATAAACGCTTAGTAAGAAATAATTTAAGATTTTAATCTTTGAATTTGTACTTATCTCTCGATATTCAGTAGACAAGTGTTAGTATTTTGCTTATATTACCCCAGTTAAGTTTTTGTTCTGTGTCGTGTTAACATTTTCCCCTGTCATCACTATTCAACAATCATTGTTTGGCGTTAGACGCTTCGGATTCGTTTAACAACTTTTTATTCTTTGTTAGTTACACAGTCTTTAAGTTTGGCAATTGTTATTGTAATGACAATTTGTGAAGTTACAAGTAGAGATACATACGAAATAGTGGTAGGTTGTTTGGTTTGTCGACTCCGTCGCTGCTGGTTTTCATGTGAAGTCATCAAACTTTAAACTAAAGAAACTATCAATCTTTCCGAGTTTCTGTTTTTGTGAAGTATTAGAGCCTCTCAAAACTAATATTCGTTCAAATTTTCTCTTCGAAAGTTTTCCTCGTTTTTTGATAGAATATGCCTGAATTTTCACGCTTATTCAAGTCATTGTACCAGAAAAAGTATTACTACAATGTTAATGAGTTCCTCGAGAGATGAATTCACGTAAAACTCAGTGACAGATGTTTCTGTTGGTTTTTTGTCGACATATTAGTGCCCACCCATACAAAGCTTTTTTCTAGTTCTCGGTTTTCACATAAGATCACCAAGACAATCCTCCTAAGTTTTAGTTTCATGAAGTTTTACAAACTTTCACTTAATTGAATTCACTCTTTCGTAGCAAAACTCGGTAACTGATGTTTCTGTCGGTTTTCGGCCGCCTTGTTGGTGACCCTCTTAGTGGCACCAACATGGCGACTCCAAAAAAACCTTATTAAATTTAGGTAAAACATTTCTCCGGATATTTCACGTATGAAAAATTTTACCGGACAGAATTTCGGCGAGGATCTTTGTATATTTACCTTCTTTCATTTCCCAGATTCTGGAAATTGCCTGTTCAACGATTTTTTTTATGGCGTTGCAATGAAAACGTAACAGCAGACCTCAGTTTTTCAGCCCAGTAAAGTTCTTTATTTGAACGCAACTGCAACCGGCCACTGGTCGGCACCAGGCCCTGAAGAAGACAAACTTAAGGAGGTTAAAACCGATCAAATAACAGATCTTGAGACTAATAAAAGACAAACCCTATCATAAAGAACCACCATGAAAAGTGGCAGGGGTATTTTGCTGGACTCCGAAAGCCAAATGACTCTGAGTTTAATGATCAGGGTTACGAAACTGAGTGACTCAGGTTCCATTTAGGGTCATTATACTAGGAAAATTGATCTGAAACTTGATTCACCCAGATTCCTTACCTTAATCACTATACTTCAGAGTCATTTGGCGTTCAGCAAAATACCCCTGCCAGACGAAAAACGTCTTAATTACAATTTCAAACTAAATTTACACCTTAACAGTTTCAAAAGATTGACAAGGAGAACGCAAAGTTGCTAGAACTTGGTAAATTGGTGGCAGAATTCGCAGAAGGGGAAAACAACGTGCCAGGAACTACAGCCACAGGCAACGAGGTATTCAGCTCTTTTTTTTTCTTTAAACAATCGAAAACCTCTAGCATGGTTGCCACTGGTCAGAAAATGGTCGGGGAAAAAATTCTTCAAGGTCAGGGAAAAGTCAGGAAATTGCGCTTCAAGTCAGGGAAAATTTAAGTCTTTATAAGAAGTCAGAAAGAGTGGAGTTTTAAAACTACGTAATTCCTTTCCCTCACTGTTATTGTTTTCTCACGTTAAAAATTCTTTGTTTCATGTTACGGACATGAATTTTGTTACATTGGTAGAATATTTTTCGGAAAAATTGAACAATAAGCTGATAGTTAGTTTTTGAGAAAATCAATCCTGTTTGCCACTTTATACTAAGGAATTCTCAATTCATATAAACTGTTTGTGACTTGCTTAAAGCATAAATTAATTTGGTTCAAAGGATGACTGTGAGAGGTGGGTTTCCTCCGTTTTCAACAATAATTTTCTAAAAATGTTAATTCAGTTGGTCAGGGAATTTTAGAAACCTCGGGCTCTGGTAACCATGCAGGCTGGTTATTCATAAGTTGAACCTACTTATTAGTTAACGTAATAAATATTCAATGCATTATGTTAATTCGAAATTAAGTAATGTTAGTTATAACACGAACAGCAGTGTTTTATCACCATAAAAATTCGAGTGCCTGAATATTTACAGCGTTGTATCGCGTTGCGCGTTTTGCAGACTTCGAAGGGATTTTGGGTTTTTCTGTTCCGTCAATCATTTAGTGAAGGCGGGGTTAATGCAAATCACAATGTAACGCGCTCGCCCAGTTTGGCTGAGAATGACTCTTGACTGCTCAAGAATAGCGAAGGAAATCGCGATGGTGATGTGGATTGTTTGTCGAAGGAAGGAGGCGGACGTTGCTTTATTCTTTCAAGTGGCAAGAATGAGAAAGATCATAAAAATCTGCAAAGCAAACTTAACTAGTCGATTATTGCCCTAAACAGGACGATCACAAAGCAACGAACCTTGAAACACGAAACAAACAAAACGGATCGAAATCCACCAATCACGAATCACAAACCATGATCTTTTGAACTCGTGCAAGTATATAGGTGTTTCCTAAGAGGTCCGCTAAGATGACTGATAGAACAGGAAAACCCAAAATATTGCTAAACCCACAGCGCGATACAACGAATTTCGCTATAACAAGGGATAAAACACGTGCTGTGCGTGTTTTGAATAGCTTCAAAAACGTCCTCAGAGTATTCATTTAAATAGGTTTGCCAAACAATTTATTGTTCATTGAAAAATGCAGGGAAAAAGCAGCCAAATATAAAAATGTTATGATCAAACAAAGTTTTCGAATACATCGTGCAGCTGTAAAGTACACAGTTTTAAGCGTCTTCTTGCCTACATGATAAGGCTATCCAGATGTCAGAAATTTTCACGGTTAATAAACGCTCATGAGGGAAAATTACTCTAGGAGAGTGTCGCCTTTCAGTATATTTAATTTAAGTGTTTTGCTCTACCCGCCTAGATTGGTCCTGCTATTTAACAATTATTCCACCAGTGCGCGTTGGATATAAGACGAGGCGCTGCGCGCCTCGTTGGCTATAATCATCTCATATCTAACAACCACGAGTGGAATAATTGTTTTATTCAAAACGCTCACAAAGTATCGAGAATTCGACCCGACTTCCAACAACCGATTTCCAGCTTTTTTTCAATTTTGGGCAGACGCGTACAGTTACCGTATTTGGAGAGCATGCTATAATGGCTTATATACCTTCATGGCTAAGCCAGTCAGAACTCTAGAATTGCATTATCCAATGTTTCAGTTTTTGATAATTGTGGTAAGAGCAGTTTTGAAATTTTCTTTTCAAGATACTGAACTAAACTCTTTCAACTGCAACACGACATAATGGTCAGTAATAATACTTTGCACCTCGTTCTAGAATAAGTTGTGACCGGTCGACGGTTATTTGTTGTTGTTGTTGTTTTTTTTGTTCGTCTTCAGGATATATTTTCTTACTTTGTTTTCCTTTCCTTAATTTGCCAATTATAGCAGGACCGATTTACATTAAAGTTCATGCATACAAATTGTTACTCTATATAAAATGTTCATCCTAATTAGCATTCCATTGTTTCAGCCATTCAATCCAGGTTTTATTATTGATTGAATTCGTGAATTCAGTTAGACAATGTGCCTACTGAATATTAATGAGTTTTCGAAGAGCTCTTTACAAATCTCCCCGGCAAGATTCAGGAAACCTTTATACAGTTTAAACTCCAAATACGATCACCTCCCATAAGCAACCAACAATTCATCCACTAACATATTCCCTGTAAATTCTAAGTTCGTATAGTTGGAACCTCTAGTAAACAACCACCTCTCTTCAGCGACCGTGTTCACGAAACCCGCTTGCCATTCAATAAACTCGCTAAGATGGACGCCCTTTTCGAAAAACCTGTTGACTGGTAGTAGCCTAAAATCCATAACCATCGAATAGCCGTATCGAATTGTCTTTTGCTGCGTTCAATTGCGTATTAATGGTACCAATTGTTTTTCCTGTCGGATAGGATTTAAACAACTTGCTGTCCGAGTTGGAATTGAGTGAAGCTAAAGAAGCAGGTGACGGGGATGGATCTAAAGGAAGTGCGTATGACCACCTTGGCAGTCTGTACCGCTCTCTCGGTGATTTCCAAAAAGGGATCGAGTTCCATCAGCAAGCTCTTAAAATTGCAAAAGAGACTGAAGACAAACGCGTGCAAAGAAGAGCGCTTGAAAACCTTGGTCTCGCCTATCGCGCCCTAGGCCTATTTCGAAAGGCAGTCATGTTCCATCAGCAAGCTCTCGTTGCCGCCAAAGGGATTGGAAACAGAGATTCCGTAGCAAGAGAGTATAACAACCTTGGTGTCGCCTATGTCCTTCTTGGTGATTTCAAAAAGGCAATCGACGCCCACAAGAATGCTCTTAGAGTTGCAAGAGAGATTGGAAACAAGCATTTAGAAGAACTGATATTGATGAACCTTGGGATTGATTTCTACTCATCCCGCGATTTCACCAAGGGAGAGGAGTACTTAAAATCCACTCCAAAATTGTTCGAGAAGATAAAGGATGCTATTCGACTGGACGACGAATGGGACGACGACATTCAGGCTAAATACAATAAAGCTGATAGATTCCTGTGGAGGTTTTATCTACGACAAGGCAAGACCATGGAGACGTTGTTAACAGCCGACAGGGAACGAACTCAAGCCCTGACGAAGCACATGGCAGGACGATATTGTCTGGATTTAATTCGATTACCGGAAGAAAAGCACATCGAAGGAATCTCTAGGTTGTTTACCCGCACTTCAACTACTACAATATATCTCACAGAAGCCGCCGAATCTCTGAATTTCTGGGTACTCCGGAAGGGCCAGCAATGTTTGTTTTTACAAAAGAAGCTTAGTCAGACCCTGCTATATCTGACCGATAGAGCATACGAGCAGCTTGCTTTCACTAAAAAGCCACCTATCGAGGACCGCTCCATGGATGGGCCTGAAGAAGACGAAGACCTCGAACAGTTATACTCTATAGATCTCAAATGGAAACAAGTCCCCCAAGATGCTCTAAAGGCATTGTATGACGCGGTCATTGCTCCGATTTCACATTTGATAGAGGGAGAGGAGGTTGTCATTGTTGGCGATCGTTTATCTCTCTTGATTCCTTATGCTGTCCTTGAAGACCAACATTCCAGATATTTGTCTAAAACACTGAGGGTTCGACTGGCTCCATCACTGACCAGCTTGAGGCGGCCGGCATATCCAGAAGGGGACCGTGGACTGTCTAGTATACTGCTTGTTGGTGACCCATCAGTAAAAAACCTATACTTCAAAGACAGAAGTTTTAACCAGCTTGCAGGTGCTGAGAAAGAAGTTAACGCCATTGGAAGGCTCCTGAACGTCGAACCGCTCACTGGAAAGAACGCCACCAAAGATCGAGTGTTGAGCAGGCTTCAGTCTGCATCCTTGGTACACTTTGCTACTCACAGCCGTAAAGGAAACGGTGAAATTTTCTTGACCCCAAATCCTGCAAAATTCAAACCGTTTTTGCAGACCTTTCTTTTGTCGACAGAAGATGTGCTGAGAGTACGATTGCAAGCGAAGCTTGTCGTCTTGAGCTACAGCAACAGTGCAAGAGGGATGAGAACAAACGACCAATGCGTGCTTGGTATCGCACACGCCTTTTTAGCAGCCGGTGCACGTTGTGTTATTGGGTCACTGTGGCCTATTAACGACACTGTCACCGTGCAGTTAATGACGCAGTTCTACGAAAACCTGGTAGATGGTCAAAGTGCAAGCCAGGCCCTCAATAACGCCACGGCGAAGATACGTGAGACGAACGACTACAGTGCCCCGAGATTCTGGGCCCCGTTCGTGGTGATGGGCGATGACGTGACATTGAGTTTTGCTTAGTGAAGGTGAGGATACCACTTAAATATAAAGTAGATTCTCTCCTGCTTAAAATATTCAATTTACAAACCTTGATCTCAAGATTTGAATGAAAACTAAAATTTTTGATGATTAGAGACAATAGATACGAAAACTACTTATTGTAGACATCGGCGCTTGAGGTTTTGTTTCTCATGGTCGAAATCAATAACCTGGTAGCCTGTGCAACCAAAAATTATTTTTTTTCCTTCAATAACCTCATAGGTTAACGGGCATTTCCCCAGTTCATAAACCACTCGGATTCACCTCTTGTTTTTAAGTTAATATTTTAAGTTAATATGGCACCTCTACTCGTCTATTAAAAATTACTTAGTAAACGTTTTCTTTATTTTCTTTCAGGAATGTGGCAGCCAAGTAAAATGTATTATTTTAGTTTTTAACAAATGGTTTGTGCCTAAAGAAAGGAGATTAAAATGGCGCGATAGCAACGAAAGAGAGAACGGCAGAAAAATAAAGCCTTTCTAGAACTACGTTTTTTTAAGGTAATTTGTCTGCCGCTGTCTGCAAACAATCAAAGACGTGGCGGTTAATTCTGCTTTCTCTTTAATATCTTCAAGTTTTTTTCCTCAAAACCCCACCAACGAAGAAGGCACTGCTTGAATAAATTGGAACGATTCTAAAACGATTAAAAAGAAGTTGAGTTTTTTTTTCTCTGTTGTCGTCATCATCTTATCTTAATCTCCTTACAAATTTGTTTCTAATTTTCTTATTGAAAAAAGGCGTCGTGAATTCGTTTCATTATAGAGTAAATGAATATATAAGTCATTGAATTTTATTCGTCAATTAGATGAATTAAATGTTAAGTATGGATTTATCTTATCAGTTAAACCAATTTTAACTCGTGAAATAACTCAAGTGTAGTTTTTTGGTATATATTTTTTAATATCAACATGCGTTAGCCTTCCATCAACTTTTGTACGCTTCTTGCAAAAGGTGCGCCATTTATGGCCCCCTGAAAAGTATCTAACATCTTACGACATCGTTGGACGGATAAAGGAGTCATTTTGAAAGGTATCAAAAGTTGAAAATCATTTAAACGTTATTTCAAATCATCCAATATCGTCCGAAAAGACGTTGGCAGGAATCTCGTTAACGCGTTGCATAGAATCTGTACCATCATATTGGGGCTCCATTTAAATGGGCCCTGACACTGTGATTGTCCCAAGACAGACATTGAATTTTAGGTGGTCGACGGTCATCTTTAGTTGGTAACCCGCATACACTGTTACCTTCTATGTCTGGGTCTTGCGATGATGATCTTTCTTTATGAGATCTCGAAGTAGCCAGTTAAAGCGTGTGGTGTTGGAAGGAAGTTCTAGGTATATAATAAAAACAGGCTATAAAGTTTTGTTTATAACTATAATGCTACACGCGTTCTGGCTGGTTCAAACTCTCTTTTTTTTTACAACGGTTTATAATAACGATAACAGGGACATTTTTAACAGGACACCTCCATCGTAAAAATTAGTCTTGAGTGAGGTCCCTGTATGAAAGAAAAATATCTAAACTAAGAATACTTAAAAACAAAAGCCAAATAGTATAATTTTCGATAAAAGCTTTTTGAACTGACGACCGTTTAATTTGGCTGGGCTCCTTCATCTTGAGTGCTTTTCGATCAGTGACAGTGAGCGGAATCAAGATGCATGCTAAATATTGAAATCGTTAGGTTTTCGTTGAATACACATAGCGAGTTATTTTTAGAATAGGCCGTGTCATAGTTTAACTTAGTTACTGTATTTAAGCTTATTAACGTTGCCTTTGAGTTTTTCTGCTGATAGTTCTCTACTAAGGTTTTGTAGAAGGGTGGAGCGGGGTTTCTCTCGTATGAGAAACAGTGGTAATTTACCCTAGAACTCATAATCATATTTTATTCATATGTGACATACCACAGGGTACCAGCAGTTTAATATGAGATTAATCCCTTCAATACTAACAGTTAAGTCAACAGAAAGCTGGTAGCAACCGGAGTGATTGATTTTATCGTTGTTGTAAAAATTATCGTGGTCGAACGAGCCTAAACATGTCAACTCAATCCTAAAGTTTTCATTTCCGCTAATCAAGATAAATACCTGTCTATCTGGTTGTACAGTGAAGAACGAGTCCAAGCCAATGTCAGCTCAATCTTAAAGTTTTCATTTCCACTGATCAAGATAAATACCTGTCTGTCTGGTTATGCAGTGAAGAATTTTTCAAAACCGTTTGAAACGTTTGAAAACGGGGAAATGCGAACTTTTCAAGGCAATCTGTAATTTCAAAAAGTGATCTATATCGCTTTGGTTATCGTTTGACCGCCATGGAGCTTAGATGAGTGAATAAGTTAAAGAGTATCACTAGGCCTTGAGAATATCATTTTTTTATTATTATAAAATTTCTCGAATATAAGATTAAATGATGTAAATGAAGAAGTAAGGTTGTTATCTTTGTGTACGTGTTCTTCGATTTCCCAACGCTCCCAAAGACCAGCCGAGTGGAGGACAGGGGGAGGGGTTGTACAAAATTTTTGCTTCTCATCCAACCCATTTCCTTTTCATATAACCTAGCAGGTACCTCTTTCGTGTACTTTCCAGCTAAAAAATGATACACATTTACATACACACTCAGAACAGTGCATCTGTTTTCCAAGGTTAACTAATTAAGCAACAGAAAACGTTTCCCGTGTTTGCTTAGCCTGATATAAACACGAGAGGGGTTGGGAGAATTCGAGACAGTCATGCAAACCCTCGACTTCGTCTCGGGTTTGCATAACTGTCGAGAATTCTCCCAATGCCTCGAGTGTTTATGTCAGGCCATGCAAACACAGGAAAAAGGTTTTCTATTGCTTTTATAAAATAACTTTCCCGAGAAAAAAACGCAAAACTCTTTGTATGGCACTGATTAAAAGAGAAATTCTTACCAGTCACAAAATCTTGTCCACGAAGTCTTGCACGCGTAATCAGTTCTTGTTTTAAAAAAGATGCTTTGCAAAATACGGATTTTTTTCGCTTTAAATGTTAGCTTAAGTGCAGAAAAATTGACTCACCTTCTTTGTAACCATTTTCCATGTTTCAGCCGACGAAGGAATGGGTAAATAAAGTAAACTTGTCGAGTTTGGAACTCGAAAACTTTTTCAATTTGTGCTTGCGTGATTAACGCGCGAAAAGCCAAACAACTTGACGCCACAACCATGTTTACATACTCTCATGAAAACACTCCTCTCGGCCAATCAGAGGGCGCGTACTATCTTAGTTATTTTATAATCAGTGATATTATGGAAGAACAGCGAAAGGGTGTTGCGTTGAAAATAGTTTAATTGAAGGTCCATTCTCAAATGCCAGATTTCCATACCCTGTCATGCACTTGAACTCGTGAAATCCCTACCCTTTTGGTACCCCGGAAACCTAAAAAAGGTAACTCTTTCCGGCGAAACCATCCCATATGGGTCACCGTGGGAGGATAAACCAATCTTTTCCTCTGTGGGAACAACACTGTGAATGATTTAGTTTTAAAGTCTTGAGATCAGAATCAAATTCTTTTATTCACTGGATTACTTTAGGGACTTCACACAAGGCAGTTAGATGTTTATGATTCTTCACAGTGCCTACAGTCGATTTTACTGTTAACGATCCGCATTTAGAGACCTGTCAACACTGACGAGACCCTTGTGTTCACGACCCACAGTACCACAGTTTAAGGCTTAATGATGCCTTTCGGAAAACTTTGCTCAAGGCAGTCAAAAAAAACTCTAAGACAACCCACTACCAGAGCCGAGTTCAGTCTAATTCGAGCTCTGATTCCAAACTGACATACTGAGAGAATTATGTAAAGTTATGAGAAACTTTTTTGGGGGGGTGGTTGGGGTGGGTGGTGAGTTAATAGCGAGTGAGAACCTCATCAAAGTCTATCTACTGCAGCCTATTCGGTATCGATTAAATAAATAAAAGTAACTAAAAAAAAAATTAATAATAATAATAATAATAATAATAAACAACAAAACCGTACTCCACTACAAGACTCCGTCGGAAGGTATATAAGGGAGATTTCTATAGCCAAGTTGTTGCAAATCCAGTCAGATATATAAAAGCGAATATGAATATAATGTACAAAATTAAGTTTTTTTCTTTCCGGTAGTTTCTTTTAAAATGTTTCAAAGATGGAGATTTCTAAACAAAATGGACTAACTGAGGTTTGGGAATTAACAAGAGCCATAATGGGACTTGGAATTAAACCATCTTCAATTCGCATTTAAGATTTTTGGGAAAAATGAGAGGAGAGCTCCGATAAATAAAAAAGGCGTTAAACGTAAACAAATACTCGACTGGTCGACGGCAAATCTGTTTCATAAGATAATGCCTATAGTAATACCAAGTTTTCACTTTGTGTTACCCAACTACCTACAAGTTGAAGTAGAGTGAGCACTAAAGTATAGTTGGGAGGTGCCCTGCATGGGACTTCAGGTCCCGTTTGCGCCTTACCGTTTGCTCTTCCTTTTTCGTTACTGTAACTATTTATTTAGATAGACTCAGACCAATAAAGTTGATAAAACAACACCAAAAAAAGAACAATAGTTAGCTCTGAGTCTCTCATAATTTTTCCTGGTATTAACTCCATGGGCGCCAATCACATGCAACTTTTTAACGTAACGAAGTCAACTTTTCCAAACAGTTAACAACCAATCCAATAAGATTCATATTTTGTTACCAAAAGTGTGCGGCAGGCTGGCATACTATTTAAAGAAACTAGGGGACAGAACTGAAGTTTAGACCTACATAAAACTAAAACTAAGAGATTTGCTGACAATTTTATTCACACAGTTTTACTAAAGAAAAACTCGCGGTCGCCATCTTGGATGCCAAAAAAAAGAGACTCGCCCCAACTCTCTGTTAGTTTCAACGTCCAAGATGGCGGAAGAGCATTCGTCCCCCAAATAGTATCATCGCTCACGCTGCAAAATACGCTTGCCTTGCAGGCTGTGTTTTGGAGGTTATCTTGTCTATTCACCCATAAAATCTCGAAATATTTTCCGATATAAGTAAGGTGTAAGGTCTTGTTAAGAACAAGGGAACAGGTTTTTCCAATTTAGGCGTTCTTCAGCCTTCAGGAGCCAGAGGTCCGTGAAGACATGTAAAGATCTACGAAAGCCGAGGAGGGTCTTCCGACTTCTGACTTCCGACTTCAGACTTCCGACTTCAGCCTTCAGACTTAAGACTTCACACTTCAAACTTCAGACTTCAGACTTGACAAAGTTCGAATTCCGGATTTCTGACCGTTGAGACTCAATGCTGCATGGTTAGACTTCTGACCTCCCAATTCCCACTTCCCACTTCTCACTTCCGACTTCCGATTTACGACTTCCGATTTCCAACTTGCGACTTCCCACTTCCGACTTGACTCCTCTGTCAGGCTCGATTGCCGCTCGATCCGCCACGCGGGTATTGATGCTCAAGGTCAAGGCTCAGTGGAAAGAACGGTTGTACCGTTCTAGCCACAAAAGAAAACAACTTAGGGACTGTTCGTTATTTATACCTAAGGGGGGGCCGGTGTTTAGAGTGGGGGGGGAGGTAAAATTTTCAAAATCAATGAAAAAGGGGGAGGTTTAAAATACAAATAAGGGGAGGGGGGTAAGCTTTTAGAAACTGTTGTTTCAACACTTGTGTAGCAATTTTGCAGACATATTTAAAAAGTTGAACTCTGTATCGAGAATTCTATTTTAATACAAAGCGCCTGGTCTTTATAGTTTGAAAAGCCAAGAAAACGTGAC